ATTCTTAGGGATAATCTGTCAGTCTTCCTGGTGTTTCTTACCTTACAGCTGTGTCGCCAGTAGTGCTGCTCACCTCGGCGTCCTCACCCGCCGACAGCTCCTGTAACGGCCGTCGGCTCTGACTCGATGCCAGCCCGGATTTCTCCATGGTCCAACCGGCCGAATTAACTGCCGCCATGACCATACAAAGTCTTTGGCCGAATCCGTTTTGCAGATATATTGCTGTCATGAACACGCAAAGTATCTGGCCAATTCCGTTATGTAGAAAATGTGCCGTAGGGCTGCGGACTCTTTTTGGCACAATCGATGCTATCAGGCTTCTGTGCAACCACCACGGAGCCGCACTCGTCGCCCTGCGACCGCAAAGACCGCGAACAGTTTGGTGGGACCGCCCTGTCTGGACTACTTCGTGGCCTGTCAGCAGCCATCGCAGGAACCACTTGATAAATATAGAACAGAGCTGTCTGTTGATTGCTTCAGCAGCACGATTCACTTTTCAACACAAATGATGCGACAAAATCGTGGCGGACCTTATCAATAAGTTACAGCATTGGCATTGACTGGTTCGCCGTTAAAACCGCAAGGGCATTGCTCGCAGAGCAATCGCTTTGCGAAAGGGCCAAACCACATGCCATTCTGCACGGACAAAACCTGGCCCCGGCCGCACAGACCCGGCTCCACCGAGCTCCGCACGGCTTCCTTCTTACCTTCTTAGCGGGCAGGCCGCGGGTGCCGGCCCCCATCTGCGCTGATCACAGGGCAGGATCACCGTCCGTCACTGGCTGGCCGCCCCGTCGTGCCGTCCGCACACGGACCGTCCAGATAACGACGCATCCCCGCCGCCGCCTCATATCGTCGATACCGATAGGGCGCGATAGCAGCCCCGTCGACGCCGACGGCCGCACCGTCCCCCGGTCAGCGGCAGGCGCCGCCGTAATGTACCGGGGGGTGACGCTGGAACGAGTGGGAAAGGCAGCTTCCAATAAAAAAACAGTGGGTGATGGGTCGGGCAGCACAGGTCCTCACTGGGAGGCCGAGGGCTCCTGCTCAACACGCCTCAGGGCAGAAAATCGGCGGATCAAGGAATGTTCCTGCCTCGCAGTCAGTATTGACGCGTCAACCGAACCCATTATTTTGGTCTCAGAAAGGAAGAGTGGACTGCTGTTTGTCTCTGCATTATAACATTTAAGCCGAGGAGTCATTAACCTGGCTTCTCAACGTTAAAAACCAATATCAATAAAAAAAAACTGAACAACGCAGCTGGCGCCTATTAATACAGCAGCCACCCAAAGGCACCATGCTGCGATAAAGAAATAAGAAAGAGCAAATAGCGTGAAAGATCCTTTGCGAAAGGTATGGACCATGCGCCTCCCGCCGATCTTCTGTGCGGATTTCAGCGCCAGGCATCGCTGTCGTACCTGCGGGAGCCTCGTATGTTTTACTTTGCTGAGCGATGTATATGCGTAATTTAGTAATTGTAACAGAAAGTACGACAGTGAGCTGACAAAATTACCATCCCTGAAACACGTGTGGACACCAAATGCACACGACGACAATTTCAAACACAGCCGCGCTGAACATTCCGAACGAACGCACATTTCCGTGTTTTCGGGTCTTGGGTTCAGGACGCTCGTCTGTTTCTTGTAAGTCCCGATAAATTTCCGGCGGGCTCCGGCCGGGATAAGCGCTGAGCAGCGGCCGGCTCGAATGCGCGCGCCAAATCCCGCAGCCGATTGATGCTCCCTGAGGCGGGCCGGTGGTGGCGGGGGCCGAGCCGACCAGCTGGTCGTCGGGACGGGCCGATTGTCGAATGAGACGTCGGTACCGACCTTGGCTTTGGCCCACCTCACACTGCACGCCGCGCTCGTGGCAAACTCCAAATTAACCATTTCCGCGCGATGCTTGTACATACTTTATAGCATATATTATATATATATATATATTATAGATATATATATATATATATATATATATATATATATGTGTGTGTGTGTGTGGGGTGTTGTGGTGTGTGTGTGTGTGTGTGTGTGTGTGGGTGTGTGTGTGTGTGTGTGTGTGTGTGTGTGTGTTGTGTGTGTGTGTTGTGGTGTGTGTGTGTGTAAATATATACCTGTACACACTTAATAAAGAGTGGAAGGTGATGAAGAAAGTACTGTAACAATCTATAGTGTACATATATATATATATATATATATATATATATATATTATATAATATTATATATATATATATATAGCTACCACCAGATAAGTCAACGCGCAGGCTTGCCATCTACGAAGGAGCTCCGTTTAGACCAAATATAAGACCTAGCTGCCAAGACAGTGTGCCTGAGAAAACTTAGAGCAAGGTGACTTAACGGTCTGAAATCAGCTTTCATGACACTTGTTTTTCAGTAATTCCCGGATAGCTAATACGTATCACGTGTTCATGAAAAATATAAGAAAAGAATTACGCTGATATTTTGTATTTTGCCCTGAAACTGCTGAACCTATTGTGAGTAAATTAGACATATCTGTAATCTTATCACTTAAAGGGGGTGTCTCACATGTACATGGGCTTTTAACTGGAGTAGCCATCTTGAAATAGCCATCTACCTGTCTGTTACTTTCTCCATCCCTTCTCCGCCCTCTTAATCTCTCTCCCTTTCCAGCTTTGTGTTTGCACTGAGGCCATCAAAAGTAATAAGTACATAAACAATCCATTTGTCACCTTGATTGCATCAACTTTGCATCTTTGGGCAATGCGCGCTAACAATGGCACAACAGCAATGCCGATGCGTCAACAAAAACTTTATAACCGATGGATCCCAACTCAAAAGACCACGTATGCTTCTGAGACACAACGAAACCATGAAACAGCCTTACCGAACATCGTCTCGCTCTGCGTCACCTGTGCAGCGTGTCATCCCGCGCCAGTTCCGCAGCGCCGCACCTGCGCCACATCTGCCGCCGCTCAGCCGAGGTGTGGCACTGCCGCAGGTTCCGCTGGCTGCGCCACGGCGCCTCCGGTCACGACAGCATCTGGGCGGCGGTGATGCGCCGGCCTCGCCATCTCCTGCCGCTGGGCAGCGTCCGGCTCGGCGACACGGTGAGGCAGCGTGCAGGGCGCGACCAGCCGGGATAGCTCGCAACCTGTCGGTCGGTGAAGGCACGACTTGCGAAATAGCCTGGTGGACATACTCGTAAGTGCTTTGAACCGGCCTTACTGTTCTTGGCTAAAACGCACTAAAGAATGCTTACATTGAAATCACTTGTTTGTGCCAAATGCGGACTTGAAACGGCTTGTTTGTTCTGTCAGGAAAGCCAATGGCTTCGCCTGACCAAGACTTCACTTTCTCTGAACACGTCAGCAACCTGCTGTCCACGGTAATCTTCGTCCTTGTTTTGATCTGTGAGGGAAGCCGCCATGAACGCGACGTGCCCCGACCAGTGACGAGTCGTCTCCTTATCTCGCCACCACACCTGCCGCTGCGTAGCGTGAGTGCATAACGCCGGGGCGATATCCACACACGTGATGACGCGACCCCACCAGCGTGTGCCGCCTGGCGCCAGGTGCACTGCGAGATGGCTCCGACTGGCGCCGGGGCAATGGCTGGCGGCGACACGCTGCGCTCGAGCGCCACGCCCGTCGGCCTGCTGGTGAGGGCGGAGCGCACCGCGGCCGACGCCGCCCGGCTCGTCTTCAGCGCCACGGCGCCCGTCGTCTGCCGGCGCGGCGCCGCCTGCCGCCTGCGCGTCAGGCTGACGCAGCCTGACGGTGAGTCGGTTGCGCCTGCCGGTACTATGCAGCTGGTATCAGCTGGCGTATTGCAGCTGGCGTCTTGCGGGGCTAAGTCATATCAGAGTCGTAAGTGCCGAGAAAAGGAATGGGTGCGGATGGTGCCCGAACGATGCGGCTCAGCTATAATCGTTATTCGGCGGGAATCGGACGTTTAGTCCCGCTTTCATACAGACAAATATGTTGAAGGATAGCGCGACTCCATGATACGATATTGTTGCTTTTCGGCGTCAGAAGCAGCCGACTAGTGTTGTTTTGTCCCTCACTTGCTCTCGGGCGTGACGGAATAAAGAGGCGTAGATCATGCTATCGCCAGAAGACAGCGTGGACCGCCCTGGGATGCAGGGATAAGCGCGGCGGTAACTGGGCTCATCCTTTGGTATACAACGCCTTAGGAGACATCGGGACACAGTCCGTCTTCTTCCGGCGTGGTGAACATCGGGTCTTTTGAGCCCTTGGTGGCGGACGTTTGGTACGCATGTAGATCCCACCATCGACGCTTTTAAGAAGGGCGACCTGGCATTGAGTCAACAGACAGGCCGGCCCGGCTGAGTCTCCGGAGTGCACCGGCCGAAGGAGCCGTTAGGCGTAAGTGCAGGTCATGCCGGGCACTGACTGTCCAATGATGGGTTCCACCGTCCCATCAGGTGTACTGTCTACACCGAGCCCTCCCCTCCTCATTGCGGACGAGGCGCAGGGGAGCGCCGTCCAAATAGGGAATCGTTATCCTGGGGCTCAGACGGGTGAGCAAGTCCTTGCGCGGTGTGGGCACACCAGATACCCACCCAGTTGTCTCACCGGTGCTCCACTGACAGCAAATTGACCCGATTCGCCTTAAATAGAGTATACACGTAGCCTCCACGGATGCTTGAAATGGACGGAATAAAGTTTATGGAGCGCATTAAGGGCGCGCGCTGAAGTGCCGGTTGTATTGCCATGGCGCTTAGAACGGGAGGCATGTCCTGATGAGGGCGCCAACGGATGGGTACACCTGGAATCAATGTCGTATGGCGCCGAACGCTTGATGAGTGAGTGGATTAGTCAAGGACTAGGGGAGGGCTCCCAGGGTTAGTACACAGCGGGCACCTTGCCAATTAGATTCGACGGTTGCGTTGAGTCCCAACCGATTTGTGCGTGCGCACCATGGAATTCAGGACGTTTAAATGCCCGGAATGCATCTAGCCCCGTTTTTGTCCCGTTTAGATATTATCACGAACCAAAATTGTGAAGTTGGGATACCGTGTTAACAGAGAATGTTCCATATTTATATGGGGCTGTGAACTGAAATAGTCATCTTGAAGAGCTTCCGGTGCTGTTCACAACCCTGCCTTTCCTAAGACCTTAGCCGCTCTAGTTTCTGAGCAACACGCCCGCGAAAATGGGGAAGTATTTTAGGGAAGAGCATTTCAAAGTCACCTTGGCATTCATAACGTCATAATGACGTCATAAATTGGGTCATTTCATAAACCATGCGACGGTCAAGGCCAAACAATAGTGTGTCGGAGCGTTCATATCTGGCGTTTGTGAGCACCACTTCCAGAAAAACGGCTGTCAATTGGCTCTCGATCAATGTTGTGCAAGGCGCAGTGATGTAATCAAACCACGACACATTGAGGAGCGTATTTACACAACGGGGGATTTTGCTGTCTAGAGGAGTCCTTTCCATTTAAGAGTATACCAATAATTATAAGCGAGCTTGTTTCGTCATACCTGATGCTTGCGTCAGGACCTTTAAATCTGAAAATTTCCCTTTAAGGGCGCACAACCTTGGCGCGGGGAGACAGCCGTTCATGGTGCTTGATCGGTCCTACCATCCTGTCCATTAACCGGCAGCCAGTTTCACCCCAGCTCTTTGAGTCACTGGATGTATGCGTTGATGCCAGGTGTGCCGTAGTCACCGCGCGTCTTTGAGTCACTGGATGCATTTGTTGATGCCAGGTGTGCCGAAGTCACCGCGTGTATGTGTTGATGCGGGTGTGCCGAACTCACCGCGTGTGTGTGTTGATGCCGGGTGTGCCGAACTCACCGCGTGTATGTGTTGATGCCGGGTGTGCCGAACTCACCGCGTGTCGAGGCGCACGCTGAATTCCATCCTGATCGTAGCCTGACAAATTGGCTTAGCCAATCGGGACCCCCTCCCGAGGTATCACAATTTAAAAGAGTTGGAGACATCAAACTCACAGATTCGGTTGGCTTCTATGTGAACTCGTCATTTGCACATTTTAAGCCCCTGGGTCGTGACCTTCGGGTCAAATGTCTAACAGGTCAAACTATAAACTTGTTGGCTGCTACAGATGACCTGTTTAGCCTATTGCCGGCCAGCAACATTTTGAGACAAATCTAATGTGTTATACTAAAATATTCAGTGTTTATTGGTTTACAGGACATCAAGTTTGTTGTCACTGCGACGCACCGTTCGCGAGTTGTTCAGCCAACACTTTGGGCAGCGGGGTAGTCAAATTTACCGCCCCTTGAGGACATGGCATGAAACGTCCCAGCCATGCAGCTGCCTCAGACCCATGAGCCAGAACCAACGCGGGCAACCTAGCCGGTTGACAAGTCCAACCAGCGTTCTGCTGTGCATTGTCTGGTTGGCGCAGCATCAGCACCCAACGTCGCACGCCACCATACGGCGACAGACTGCCCGCCGCCTCAGGCCCACTCAGGCTCCGACTCAGCACCAGACACGCGATGCAGGCTGCATGCCGATCGACGGCCTCAATGGACGTCACATTAGATTGTGGTAAACTTTCGCAAATAGCACGAGCTGTCATGTTCGCCTGCAGTAGCAGAACCTGTGGGCTTTACCAATAACGAGGGCCTGCGTCCCCACGAAAATCCTTGTTCATTTCAAAAGTAAGTGTGTGCCATCACCTTATCCCGTTGCTGTTGTACGGCTTGCTCGGTTTGTGATGACTGTATGGGTGCATGGATGTCGATCAGTTCTCGAGCAACATTCTGATACATTTTCCTCTGAAGTCGTGACTTGTTAAGCACCGTATGTGATCAGCGTGTACCGTGCTACCAAGCACCGCCCTGCATTATCGATATTAGACGGGAACTTCTCTGCTCACCGGGGCGGTACCCATGCGTCCGTTTTGTTTTTGTTAGAAAAGGGAACGCGTCGCCCGTGGCCGTGAACTCGTTTAGGAAACTCAATGTTTATATCAACTCTATGGAGCCATGCGCAGGCGTGATACGAGCTCGGTCCTTTGAGCGGCGGTCAATAACCTTAAAGGACTATTCCGTCTTTTTGTAATTTTCACTTATTGCGACATCAGACGCGGACAATTTCGTCAGCAGCAACAGTTGAACTCAGAATTTTGATTTTAAGTGGTCCACCCTGCGGGAGAAATCTCATTTGACTCCCTGCTCACAGCTATGAAAGTAATGGGTTTAATTTCCCTTGCATTTTACAGCGTGTGTGTTCTATAATGTTTGCAAATACTTAAGTGTCAAAATATGTATATGATAAATGCAACAAAAGATTGAAACGTTATGTTTGGATAAAAAGATGTGCGAGCAGGAAGCTTTTGTTCCGCAATTTTAACAAAATGTTATACATGGATTTCATTTCTCCCGTATGACGTTTACCGCGGTGGCTCTTTTCGACGCGCACTTGTTACAGTTACAGTTACAGAGCGTTGACAGTGTAAATTGAACTCAAAATAATCGAGATTAGCATCCTTTTTATGTGTTAACGGTGTGTTGCAGTTCCACTGTCCAGTGCTATTATTAGACATAACTGGCTCCGTGGTTTCACTAAAATCTATGTTTTGAAGTATGCCCAAAAGGTGGGAAAGTTACTTTAACCTCACAGAAAGCATTGCCGCCCGGAGCATGAGCCAAACAACTGGCTTTTAGCATAAGCCCAGCACGGTGATTAGAGGGAGAGGGGGGGGGGCGTTATGTATATACATGCACGCACCGCCCGACAAGTTAAAGACGAGCCCCTGTGTCTCCGTTCTCTGCAGCTGCCGACACTCGGGGACTTCCTCTGCTGCTAAGCCGGTGCGAACTGGCGCTCAACTGCTCCGATGGCCTCTGCAGCCCGGAAATGGTGACCGCCCAGCTGACGTCACAGGTAGGTCAGGTCCTGAGCAGAGGCTGTCCAGATGACGTCATCAGGGATCTGATACCGGGCGTGACTTCAGCTGGCGACACAGCGGTGATTCGCGAGGGCGAATGATTGTTCAGCTGGCGCCGCCGGTCGGTCTGAGACCCGTAACTGGACGGTGACGGCTCAGGTGGTCTCAGATGTTTGGCCAGAAACCGGGCACAGTCTGCGGACGTCACGATGGTGACGTCACGGGCGCAGGAAGAGGCAGAGAAATTGTCGGGCACCGATAAGAGGCAAACATTGTCCGTTGCTGGTGGTGCCGCTGACGTCACAGACGGATCTGACCCCGAAGGTTGGGGGGTGCGGGGTGCCGTCCTTCGGAACGGCCCACGTGTTTCGCCTCGGAGTGATATCGCCACGGGTCGGGAAAGTTAGCCGCTGATGCGCTGGGGAACTGCCGCTGACTGCTTCTAGGAATCCGTAGCACTGAAGTGAAGTCGTCAGCTGGAATTGAACACAATTCCTTGAACGATCGACAGCCTGTAGCAGCCCTCGTGATGAGTTCTTCGGAGTTGTCTTCACGTTTTAATGGCCGCCACCGTAAATGAGCGTCGTCGAAGGCAGCGTCGCTGCAATACATCTCCTGGAGTGTTCCAGGATGTGAGCAGTCCGCACCCTGCTGGTGCCGTCTCTCGAGCATGCACCGCCGCATGCGGATACTCAGGCCATAAACGCAACGGCATTCCCTGAGTCCCCATGGCACGAAACGCATCGAGACCTCACAGAGCTCGCTCGTCGATGACATTCAGCGCCATACAGAACACATATATACCTTCCTCGAACTGTGGTGGCCTCGCGATGATGACTAGCGCACCGCATCACGCACCTTTTGTAGACAGTTAATCACGGACGTTCAGGTCCACAGCTGGCATATCGCACAGAATTGACAGGCCTTTAGTCGTCGCAACAAATGCATCAAAACGAACGACACGCCGGAATGCCCCGCGTATTCTCCACTTTCCACAGCGTAGTCACAGTGGTGTCAGGTGGCATCCATGATGCATGCGGTGGACATTGGTCTTGGCGCAAATCATCCTCCTCTGGCGTCTTTTCCGCGTCCCGTGCAGTAAAGCGCATTATACTGTGCCAGGTCCTCCAAGCCAGGTTTTCGCAGTGGGCTGAAGCCAAGTTTGGCCAAGACACAGCGTCTTCAATGGCGTGGTATGGATGTATTAGGTTTTTGAGACGGCAAAGGCAGTCGTCCGCAGATCAGCCCGTTCACTTTTCTTCTGTAGGTTGTGTAGGTTACAATAATGGGCTGTCCTGCGGCTTGTGCAGGCTTAACTCACACCAGCATTCGATGTAACCAGCCTAACCATTACCTTCCAAAGCTTGACTTTCCTTCAAAATTCTCCTTTTCTTTCTTTCACTTTCCTACCTCGGCGCCGGTGAGGCCTTGAATACCAAATCATCGCCAGACTTTCAGACGATCGAAAGCGTAATAAGCTATCGTCTATCACAGCAGCTACCTTAATTGGGAATCCCATACCCTGTCCTCAGTTGTCGGCATCTTGCCTTTTGCTGCACCTTTCCTGTTTCATTGGTTCAATACATGGTATCGCGCTTTTCACATTTGTGTGATGTCTTGCGCTCAATTATCTACGGTACGCAACGTTGAATAACAGGAAACGTGAATCGTCTGTACGCTCCTATGTGGGACTGATTTTCTCTGACGCGTACCGAGTTGGGCCGCTCGCTTATGTTTTCAAAGCGGTTCGGCCACTTTCAAATGCCTGCTTCAAAAGAATCCCTTCCTCATAGCTTGTTAGCACGCTCTAAGTGCTCTTACTGAAAACATTTTTGAAAGCAAATTGATTTTACGTCAGAAAATATCCCCGGATCAGCATTCCCTAGTGGAAGCTAGTCTATAATTGTCCTGCAGTCTGGCTGAGGCATCTGATCTAAGGCCTAAGCGGTGGCATTGATTGGGATAAAAACACAACCTGTGGGCATCACGTCACTTAAGTTGAGCTTCTTTGGCTTTCTCAAGCCGAGGCTGCTCAAGACAGAATTGTGCGTCAAATCCAAGTTAGCGCCGTCGGTGAGCGAGCACAACAGTTAATGAGCTAATGACTTCAGCGATGCCACCGCTTCTTTCCATTACTTCTAGGGACCGTCTATGCAGTCGTCTCGACCCAGCCTCATATATGTGAATATTGTTGACAACTTGGAAGTGGACCGCCTATGGACAGAGTATCAGCCGCCACCTGTTCAGCTTCAGGTACAACCCACTGGTTATTGCACGCTGTTGTATTTAACAGCAAGCAATACACGTTCAACAGTTATGTACATGTATTTTATGTGTGTGATGCGTGGTGGTGTTTGTTTCTGACAAGTGCATCACACTCTCATCACAGTGGAATGCATACGATGTGTTTTATTGCTCTGCCATCTGTCTATTGCAGTATATTGTCATTAGTATGTGTGTTGCGTTACAATGCATCATAGCGCCATCCGAGCAGAACCGGCCCACAACACCGCCCATCGCTGAATGCCGTTACGAACTTGGCATCAGAAACGACACCCGACGCGAGGGCCACGGAGAAAGCTGGACGAGGGGAGATCTACGACTTGCTCGAAGTTGAGACATTCCAGTTCTGGTCGTAGCCTAGGATGAATCGCCCGCAATGAATGGCCAAGCACCACTTGGACGTTTTAGAGCCGCTATGTGCGGCTGTGGGCCCTCGTAAGCAACGGAAACTGAGGAACAGCTTAGCGACTTAAACGGTAATTGCCTGTACTTTTCGAGGATTATATTCCCTGCGGCCGTTAGGACATGGAATTGTATCTCTGGCGAAGACGGCTGTATTCTGGCCGCTAAAACATGTGCTCAACATTTAAAAACCCAACACCAGCTTTGTTTGGGTTCAGTATTAGTCTGCGTCAACAAAACGGTAATGTGTTTAGCCACTACATAAGCCGTCACACCAACCTTTGAGGACTTTATATTGCCCTGCCCACTAAGCATAACTCACCTACATGACCATATTTAGATGTAATTACTTTAGTTTAACAGATCTTTACCCAATGACCGGGCTGTAGGTCACATGACCCAGTTGATGACCGGCTGGCCGGCTGTTGTTCCTATCGACAGCTAGCGGACCGGAGGGTATCTTGACCGCCTGGATAGGCGCCTCTCTTGAGACAAGTGGCGGCCTCAGTTACCCGTCTAATTACCTGATGACCGCTGCTTGCCCGCCTGGCTGCCTTGCCAGCAATGATAATCTGACTGTCAGATTTGGTCCAGCTGTTGGGGGCGATTTATGAACTAGAGATGGACAAATAGACTATGAACTACAATATGGTGACAAGCCAGAGGGCCTGTAATCAGCCATGTGTTGATGGTTTCACTAACGAGAATCTCTGTGCACAGCTATCGGCGGTCGCTTCGATGTGCCACCTGGTCACAGCCAATCACATCATCGGATTCGACGGGACTCGACGGCAGCTGTCTGCTCCTGGAGTTCACCTGCTCTATGGTGACTTGTCAGAAGCCCTTCAGGTGGGAGGGCAGACACTCCTGTGCCCTGTGCTTGCCAGGAACTGTTCATAACCAAATAAGATGTGTCGGAAGTCTCAGTTAGGGAAAGGATTTGCCTAATGTGATCGTGACTCTAATCACGCTCAGCTCTGAATGCAGTTACGAACCTGACATCCGAGGTGCGCCAGATGCGAGCGTCGCAGAGACAGCTGCGAGAGGGGAAATCTACAACTTGTTCGACTTACAATTAAATAATGAACTAACGGTCATCCAGTAGCTGTAAACGACGTTCAGTATACCATGAGATGCTGATGAACAGACGAGATGTGGACTAGGTCCTCGCAAGGAAAGGGCTCAATTTGTAACATCGACCTCCTACTTCCGTTACCTAGACTTCCTCTTTTATTATTCGCATGATATGATGGTATCGTTATATAATCATCACCACATTATCTTCTACCGTTTACTCTGGTCATGGCGACTGCGTGTCTATCGTGACACTATTGGTTTTACTGTGTATTGCCCTAATTTATGTAATAGCCAACGCATAAGGACATCCTGTGGTACTCGCCCTCTGCTGGGTGAGAGGCAGGCGACGCCATGTGGTCTCAGTTTCGGAGTGCTCCGTAAACTCCCAGTGACATAAGTCGCAGTTTCCTAATTGCATGCAACTTTTAAAAGGCTTTATACATAATGCACTGCAACAGCAAATAAATCTGTGAGAACTAACGGATCACGCTGCCATAAAAACGCTAGTCTGATTTGGGAGTTGATGCAACACTCCCTAAGGTTTTTTGGGGATGCCTCTGCGGCATGTCGTATAAACAGACCCAAATGCTCGGTTCACTATGGGCATTCATGCGCGTTTTTTACACAACAAGAGCATGGTCCCAGAATTTTTTGGTTTCTGAGCACAGCGACGATTCTTATGAACACTAAGCGAAGATCAACGGCCGGCGTTGGCGGCGGTGAAAGCCGGCGATTCCACGAACCGTGCGTGTTGAGCCGGTGCTGTCGCGGTAACAGAGCCATAGACAAGGGCGAAGCTTCGCAAAACGAAACGGGGAGGGCGGGGGGAGGGGGGTAAACAATGTTCCGACCCTCCCCGAAATGTGCCAACAAAAAAGGCTTCTCCCCGGAGTTTTACTTCTCTCATCCCAAGAAGCAGACCTGTTTAGATTTTACGGTGCTACGAGGCATGTTCTCATGTAGACAAACCTGTGTATCTGAAAAGCGAGATATTCTGGTAACTTTGACCTTTGACCTGCCATATGGGTTTATTTATTGACTTCAGGGGGAGAGGTCGCAACGACCCCCGTCAGGTGGCATTACGCGAAACGGCGAATCATGTCAAGGTTAAAACTTTTGGTGTTTAATGACAGGTTAGAATGTAAGCTTGAAATACTCGGCGTTTTAGTGTGCATGTCCAATTTTTCATGTTATTGACCACATGTGAACAAAACGCCTCGATTTGACGCCTTTTGCAACGCGGTTCACTTCAACTGATCCCATTCATTTAACGTCTTCCAGACTTATCATTCCCTGATACCGGCTGTCGCGCAGTTTTAGATCCCCCTCCGTCTCCGCGTACGGGGCACCGCGCCGCACCGCGTCATGACCCCGGCCATGTCTGACAGGTGACGGTGCGCTCCGGGCCGTGTGACCTGACCTCGGGTCAGTTCTGCTCGTGCGCCCTGCTGGCACGGGACGCGACCGGCACGGTCACGCTGGACGGGTGCCGAGCCGGCCGGCGGCCCCAACTGCGGGTCTTCCCACGGGGCCCGGTGGGCGCCGCCGCCCTCCCTCTGCAGACCCCCTCCCACGCCGCCTGGCTGGTGAGAGCGGAGCGCGTGTCCGGGACAGATCCCGGCGCTCTTGTTTTTCGGCACCTGTGTCCTGAAACACGAGCATTGTCTAACAATGTTTTTAGTTTTGCAATCACACTTGGCTGGGTGTGAAAGCCCCATGGCATAGCGGACACGCAAGTTCTTGATTTTTTTCAGGACCTTTATGATGATGTTCTTCTAGTGCAGATGCGGCGCACGTGCTGATGCAAGATGCTAGCGCACGCCACGCGCCTGTCTTGAAAGGCTTCGGCGGAGGAAAGAAATATGCGTTGCGTGAATAGTTGGTCCCTGCGCAAAGAAAGTGTCAGCTTGAGAAGCTGCTTATAATGCTGAGGTCGAGGCCTGCGGCACAACTATACATGTTACACAACTAAAATCACGCTGTGACCCCGCACCCAAAGATGGCTACGGAACTCAAACCACAGTAAAACTGGCGTCTGTCTTTGATAGAATCTAATTTTGTCCATCTTCTTTTTTCATTTAAGACGGCGCAGGCCATTTCGCGTCGACTAATCTGAATTCACCCAGAGATAGAAATAAAAATAGAAATAGAAACAGAAAATGGGCGAAACGGCAAAGAATACCATAGAAGCGTCAAACAAATACCGTCTCGTCAATGGCCATATGGTGCTCGACGTCAAGAAAATAGGACCAGTGACTCCTTCGTGCTTGGAAAACCTCAGCACGAATTGTCGCATCAGCGGACATCAGTTGGCTTTCAATCAGCTTTACGTGTTAATGGGAGTGCTTCACATTTGTATGGGGGTTTGGATTGATATAGTTATTTTTACAAATTATTCAGGGCAGCTCACGATCCTGCCCTTTTGAAGACTAAAAATTCTCTGGTTTCTCAGCTTAGCACCCGCGAGCTCCTGCAGACTTTGTCGCGCAGACTATTTCAAGGCCACACAGGCACGCACGACGCAAAAGAAACCTCGCGGATACTGCTGCCTTTTTGGCCACATAATGCTCAAAGCTGACAGAGGCTGTCGAGTTATTCGTGTCTGATGTATGCCAGTACGATTTCTGGCGTCAAACGATTCAGGTTTTCCTCAACTTATGTACTACGTCCAATGTAACTTTTGAACACGAATCACATTTTGTACTACACAATGCAGGAATTTGGGCAGTGACACGAGCTATGACAGCAAAAAGACCGATAATCGAATTTAAGACTAACACCATAACCGAGCACATGAATGCAAGAAGACAATATAAGACCAACACCAAATACCCAAGGACGAGACAAAGAACGACCAATTCACGCGCACATAACGGTGTTTGAGCCCTACAAAAAGCGCACCGATTAGAACAACGTCTCTCTATAACTTGAAGTACTGTGACGTCATAGATAGGCTTATGACCCAATCACGCGATGACATATTGAGGAGCATATTTAGTAAATAGTGACATTTTGTTGTTTGGAGCAGTCTTTTGCCCTTAAAATCATGTCAATAACTACAAGTGAGCTTATTTCATCACAAGGAATGTTTGTCTCAAAATCGTCTAATGCGGAACACTCCCTTTGAGCAAAGTTAAAGCGAGAATCACCGGTCAGTTTTATGCTCGCTTATGAGACCTTGATGTCCGACTGTCATCATCAAACCAGTTCATTAAAGGTTTTTCTAGGTATTCTGGTCGTTCGGATCATCTACCCCAACTCTTTTTGGTGCATTTCAGTTCAGCTCAATTTGATAAGCCCGCTCATTCTCCACTCGATTCTGATCCGGATTCCGCCCCAGTCCAGTCCAGTCCAGCCCAGCCCAGCCCAGCCCAGCCCAGCCCAGCCCAGTCCAGCCCAGCCCAGCCCAGTCCAGTCCAGTCCAGTCCAGTCCAGTCCAGTCCAGTCCAGTCCAGTCCAGTCCAGTCCAGTCCAGTCCAGTCCACTCTAGGCAGATATGAATTGAAAATCCCTGTGTGATCCACCGTCCAGGACAAGCAGTTCGAGGCACTTGTCTCTTCCGTTGCGGGGTGAGCTTCGGCTGCCCACCACTGAGTGAACCTGCTGTCGCAGGTGTCGCTAGCGTCGGGCGTCGTTCTGCATGTACACGCCTTTGCTGGCGCTCGGCCGGTGTCCCGGGCAGTGCTCTCGGTGTCTGTCACGCCTCCAGTCAACGCTACGGCCGGACGAGGCCTGTGTGGGACCAATGCCGCCAAATCCAACAGCACCGCAGCCGCCACCTGGAGGTTTGGAGCAGCTCTCTAACCTCTCTAGGTTTCTCTCTTTCCATCTCTTTCCCTCCGTCTGTGTTATGTACTTTGGTATTTAACTTGCTTTGTAACTGTTTTTCCCTTCCGGGCTGCTTCCATTTTCGCTTGTTTTACCTCTCTTCGTTTCCGAATATGACATACAGCGCAAAGCTTTGTCACAGGAGAGTTGCAAACAAATGTTACCGAGCCATTACTTCTTCTCACTTGCTTACAAGCGTGTCGCCTCATTGCTAATTCTAACAGCCATCCTTGAATATTTCACCCCGCCTCTCATGGGCTACACGATACTAAACCTATGAACAAGTAATCCTGCTATGTGGTCATTAACACCCGCCTCGTTATCATCCCCTGCGCTTCCCAGGCGGCTCTGTCAACCTTGACCTAACCTGACCTGCGGTGCGTCTCAGACCGCTGGCGGCGGCCGCGGGCCAAGCCTGCTGGGGGGTGCGCAACCAGCGCCGGGCAGCACCCACCTCCGGCGCACCCCGCTGGCGGCGAACGACAGACGCTCCGTGTCACGGCTATCGGCGGCGTTGGGAGCTGGCTTCGGCGGGCGGCCCCAGCGCGCTGACCGATCGCCCGCCGGACCGCCGCAAGCCGGCGTCTCCGCCACCTCTGCCGAGCCTCGCCGGCGGGGCGGAAGGGCCTCCCCTGCCAACCCTACAGCACTCCCAGGACTCGCCGGCGCCGCGCGGGGGTCAGCGTCGCGAACACGGCTCCGACCTCGGGCCGACGCTGGCGCTGGCGTCGTCAGCCCAGCCACCGGCACCGTCAGCCCAGCCATTGGCGCCGGCCGCCGGCCCGTGCCGGGCTGCTGTGGGGATGTTCCCACCGGTGTCGGCCTGTGGGTCTCTCCTGCCCCGCCACCTGCTCGAGGCTCTCATCGACATCTGTCGACAGGGTGAGGGCGCAGCGACACACTGGGGCCGCGTGACGCGAACAGCGCGATGTCGAGACACGTGTGAAGGCGCCAAGCCACGTGTAGAAACGATATTTCCAGTGCGTAGGCCTGTGATAGAATCTGCCAGAACATGCTGTGAAGTCACCTCTAACATCTGAATGAACTTTATCCGTCCCCTGTAGTTGCAACAATTGTGACCTTGGCTGAACTTAGTAAGCAAAACAGCTATTAATGTTTCATACCTCACACTAGTGTACTCTTCGCACCCAGACACAAAAATAAGTTCATTACTAAGCATGAACTTCTCTTAACTCTTAAACACTCAGCATTACTAAACATGGGCTGTCGGTAAAGTGGTGATTTGTTTGCGCGCCTGGGGAACCAGATATACGCGTTCCAATCGTCTTGAGGCCCCCAGTGACACACACACGCACACACACACACACACACACACACACACACACACACACACACACACACACACACACACACACACACACACACACACACACACACACACACACACGCACGCACGCACGCACGC